GCAGTGTTGGCACTGTGCCCACATCACCTGCACCTCAGCAAGTCTGAGCAGACAGAGGTGATTCAGAGCAAGACCGCTGTGTCCAAGACCCTTAAAGGGGCATCTCACATCATCAAAATAAATGGCCTCTGCTTGTTTCTAGTCATTTCTATGGTTTGCCGTCATGTTTTAAAACTTACATAGCACCAGTCAGTGTAGCTTTATCGCATACTGTACACTGTAGTGCTCAAATATAAAGAGGTACATGCAGGAAAACCCACAACACACAAAACTGTGCATAGTGACTGTAGTTTTTAATCAAAGCTAATCAAATGTATGTATGAATATTTCTGAGGATTTCTGGTGGTCTGTTGATTTAACGCTACATTTCAATTTACTTTTTCTTTTCAAAAGAAATACGAAACACTAACTCTCTCACCTTTACTGATGTTAATAATATAGATAGATTCAATAAATACAAATATTTAAGGCATATAAATTATGCATGATGTTTAAGGCCTCGATAAAAAAAGAAAGCTATGATATTATGGTAGCTCTGGATGAATCTTCCTAGCACTGCCCTACTTGTTGATATAATCTATTCCATTAGTTCAATGGAAAAAAAGGCTTTTCCCCTTTTGATTCAACCAGTGGAAGATGCCGCTGCTATAAATTTTACATGGAACATTTTTTGTTCTATCCAAAACGTTTTAAGTATATTATGAGCTTTTTTATCGACTGTGCTTTCTTCCAGACCCTATGTGGACACAACAACTAAAGCAATGGGAAGTTTGTTTTTTAATTATGCCAAAATTAAAAATGTAATGCTACACTGCTGCAGCTGCAGTTGTAGTTCATAAAACTAAACTCTGAGCTCAAAGATACTGTAAATTTTGTGAAGCCAAGAAGAAAAGACCATTCTCACTCCCGAGGCGTAATATAGAGACCATTTGTCAAGTCCCGAGCCGTTCCTGAGGAACGCAAAAGGTGACCTTCCGCGTTCTTATATTATGGATGAAATCCATAGAATGACGCTCCTGCGGTAATACACGTTCCAGCCCTGTATTCCAGCCCTAACCATAACCTTAACCAGCACTTTAATGACATTAGAGAGTAAAACAAACATACATGTGTAGATTCATTCCAAATGGCTCTCATGTTTCCTCATTTTTGCGATCTCGTAATATAGGCATACGTTGGGTGTCCGGAAGTGTAACATACTGACGATTTGTCACCTAGCATAAAATGTTACGCTTTGGGAGTGAGAACGTGTCGAGGAGAAACTCGTAGCTGAGTGAAAACCTTTGGTGGGGAAGAAAAAGGAGTATTTCATTTTTTACAGTTATTATTTATTTCTACAATAACTCAGATGTCCTAACTTGTTCAAATACAGGCGCACTTTACATGCCATATATTTGATGATATAGTATACTGTTTGTAATTTCTTCGATTTTCTTAGATTTCAAAAGATGCTCTTTCAAGTACAAGTAAGCCTAGACTATCCTCACTAGTCCAAATGTGCACAGAGGAAGCATAATGCATTAGAGTTCATTTGCAAATCATCACAGACCAACATCTAACCATGGGGGATCAGAGAAAGCCATTTTCTAGTCAGAAGGAATGAAAATGAATTAACTTTCTGGAGCAGAGTACAATTGATGACAGATGCGGTAACGCTGATGCTTTTAGCAGTGGCAAAGAAATTGATGCGTGTGATGCTGTAAAAAGCAAAAACACTTGGAACACAAATACTGTACAAGTAGGGGTGGGTTTTGATTATCGATTTATCGATTAAAATCGATTCTCGCTTGGATAACGTGATATCGATTCATTAAAATCCTGAATTGATTTTTTAATATAAATTTATTTTGGCCAAAACGCCAGGATCTCAGGTTAAACCTCCCAAAATTTCAACAACCACCAAACAGCTAAAACAGTAAACGAGAGCAGGAACACGGATTCTGCACAAAGACGTCAACACAAAGCGCGGAGCCGCCGACGCATCAGAATCAGTGAGACTTTCTCACCTGACTGCACGGACACGAGCTGAAAGCCGACAGCTCGCTGATTCTGATGTTTCGGCGGGTCCGCGTTTTGTGTTTACGTCATTTTTGTGCTGATTCTGAAGCTGCAGGTTTTTCTCTCTCCAAACAATATTGAGTAAACCAGCAGTAAAAGAAGATCCAAACTACGCTTCACATAAACATCGTCATGAATTCCCTCTGATTGTTTTGCTTCCACCACGATAAAAATCACACTTCATGCACAGCTCTCTCTCTCTCTCTCTCTGTACTTCAAGAACAGTTTCCCGTCTAAAAACCTGTTTTCTGCATTATTCGCTTGCTTGTTACGCACAAGTCTACGGTTGTTTACAGCCTGTCGGACACGTTTTTTTTTCTTGCACTTCCAAAAACAAAGCCTCATTTCTACCATTCAATACTGAACAAATTTAAACTTTTTAAAATTATGCAAAATTGCAAAATGCTCAGCTGTGTCTGTAATCAAACCTCTGTAACTTTGCTCTGCTTCATGCCAGCAGCATCAGGTAACGTTCATATGTTCATTAATGGTTTTCTTTCATTTTTGATCTACTGCAGAATATTTTTATAAAATCCCAGGAAAGGAAAACCTTCATGTTTTTCTGTGTTTTATCCTCAGCTACTTTGACACAAAGGCATCTGCTGTGACGCTCACACCTTTGATAAAGTCTGGAAAGTGTCAGCTTCCTTTTTATAGATACAAAAATATGTAAATGTACTGATCTAAATTATAATATTTCTGACTGTCTGAGGCAAAATTTCCCAGATTCAAATCGAATTGAATCGAATCGTGGATCGAATCGATTCGGGACCTTGTGAATCGGAATCGAATCGATTCTAGAAATGAGTGACGATACCCAGCCCTATGTACAAGCTTGCCAGCTGCATCTCATCCAGGCTAACCTAGAAAACATCTTATACACAGTGAATATTAAACAGACTATTTATAACCAAAGGCCATGCCTCTGATCTAATTAATTTTTAAAGGCTGTCTGTCAAACATTTGTGATAAAATTCACTATGATTAGAAGAGGTGAGTGGGTTGTCTTATGCATACTTCAACATATAAAGTGGAGGTAAATGTGGGATGTGTTGGCCACTTGCTTTAGGTGTGATATCTTCAGGAGTTTCCAAGTCTTTTGCCCAAATAATACTAGATAAAGATCATCTTTATATTCAGAAATTGAGCTTGCACATATCCAGCTCCCTCACATATTTGGACATTATCCAGTCTTTAACCTGCCAGTTTCCTAGTGCAAAATCTGCATGGTGGCTGAATGTGCTGACATACAAATCATTGCAACGGTCCAAAACTTTCCATTGAGAGAGAGAGAGAGAGCAACTGCTAGCCTGTTGTGATTACATTAACATTGTCTGAAAGTTAATTTATGAGTCCATGTATCACATTCCCTCATTGTGTAAGAGTCTGTCTGCATGTAAATTCTCGCCATTTTATTTTTAACCTGATGGCCAAATGATTAAGGTGCATTAGGGGTAGTAGTAAGCTGTCACTGCAGTACTTCACCGGGGTATTTATGAGTAAAAATGAATCAACTGTGAAAAAACAACTCAGATAATAAGCAGGGCATATCAGGCCATCCTCATTTGGATTTTGCACTGCAGGCTGTTTTTCACAATCCACTAAATCACTCTGATGAAGACCGTGGATGCACATTCGCAAATTTATTTCTTGCTTTGGAGAACATGAATGTCTGCAGGGATCACCAAAGTCATTAGAAGTTATCCAGGAAATTACGACCAGCTAATGATAGCAGGTTCCTTATTCTCTCTGTTCACATTCTGTATCATGAACATCGCAGCAGAAAAATGTGTTTAAGACAAAATATCGAGAGGAAAAAGAAAACTGCCACTCCTGGTGCTTCCCTGCTTCCCTTTGTAAGTGTTCTCAGTTTTACAACATTAAGGCCTACCCAGAAAACTGACAGATGTCCTGAGTATATATAGCTACCATATTCTGATGACTCACCCAGTCTAAAGCGTTTTCAAGCTATAATCCATGTTCATGTATTATTATTATGGTTAACGCATAGCAATTATTGTGATGTATAAAGCTTTACAAAACACAATACCTTGAAAAGAACCCCTTTTGATGTCCATCTCTAGCACAACCCTTTGTCTTTTAGCTCTTTTGACAGCTACAATGCATTTCAAGTACATTTTCTAGCTTTTGTACTTTGGCCCAAGGTCAGTGTTTATATTTTATTTTCATCCTTCTGACAGAACAACACAATCAGCAACTGATTTAGTAGAAGTCATACCTCTCACTCATTCATTTCTAACCAACCTGGCCTGTCCATATCACCTGTAGTACTGGCAGCTACCCAGTCATTCCACGGATGGACAGACTCCAACTTCACCTATGAGTTGGAACAATAAGAAGAACTTGTTCATATGTAACTACTGAGCTCAACAATATGCTAAGCCTAAGATCATAGTCATTAAAATCTTCTGATGAAATGATACATTAATCATAGCTAAAGCCAAAAACCTCTTCACAAATGTTAAGGAATGCCAACTGTTCACTTTAGGATTTTTGGTGTCAGCAAAGTTAGCTAAGATGCTGTAAAGCTTGGATCCACCTCACAGTATTATATATTTCTGCAAACTATCTGCCTGGTGAATCAAAATGGTAAGTTCCTAATGGAACAGATCCATTTTGTTCTGGAGACTTGCAGTTTCACAGGGGAGTTGATTAATGGATGCTCAGGAGCTAGCATTTCCATCCAATCAACATGTGACACCAGCTTGAGTTTGCTGCCAAAGACTCGGTGGTTGCCGGTGGTTGCCTCATATCTCTTGAGGTTCGAGCCAGATATCCAGGCAGCAGCGGGAGGCTGACAGCAGTGACGCAAGCAAGCTATAGAACCGACTCTTCGGTCAGAGAGTGAGCAGAAAATAGCAGATATATCCCACATAAAAGAAGATGGCAGCTCTCTTTGAGAGTTATACACCCATACATACCTTGAAAAATATTACGACCTTGTGGGCGCCAGTGGAGGCAAGCAGAGAGGAAGGACAGAAGACAGCATTTGAGAAGGAGGGGGACTCAGAGCAGCAAGCTGCTGGAGCTAAGGTGCGAAGCTGTGGTGGCTGCAGACAGGTGCACTTAAACTGCATTCACATGTATGGAATGACTCATGCATGTACATATACAGATTACCTGGGGTGGTGAGGGGTTAGAAGTGCATACAAGCCAGAGTTGGGGTTTGCTTAGACTAAATTACAAATGTCTGTAATGTTCTTTGGAACTTTTTCCCAATAAATAAACCCCAAGTCTGGTGGGCTCATGCACAAAATGTTATGCATGTCACAGGACAATATGTCTTCCACACACTGGAGACAAAGTGACAGCTGCAACACTGTGGTGAGAGATGATGGACAGAGAAAGAAGTCAGCCATTTTTTCCCCTGATTTGTGAATATTCATTTATAATGGATGGATTGTGACATGGCATTAATGTAATCATACTGGTAATGAAAACTTTCACTGCAGTGTGTGAAATGACAACAACTTCACATCCAATTTTGTCAATAAACAAGTCAATCACGAGGCAAAATTTTGGAAAATGTAACATCTGAAAATTTGATTAGAATTGCTCCAAAGCAATTGCTTTGTTCTGTTATGGCTGCTAGCATTGTTAGCATCAGTTAGCATTAGCCAGCATGCTCAAACAGACAACATATATCACAGGAAGGGTACCAAAGCCACAAGAAAACAGATTAACAGGTCTTTAACAAGCATCATTTGTCTTCAATTTTGCTCTGTGTCATCAGTAAACCTGTGCTTGCCTCAGTGCTCTGACCCCCCTATGACAGCTCTTTTAACACAGTAGGAACAGCAAAGGGATACAACCTGCACAAAAAACATGTGAATAACTTTAAAGGAAGCAACCTTGCGAGAGCACACAGGATACACAAGATCATTTGATTTCATATCAGCTCTATCTATCTATCTATCTATCTATCTATCTATCTATCTATCTATCTATCTATCTATCTATCTATCAAAAGCCTTTCAAAGGCTTCATTGTGTTGTAAGTCTCTAACTCTCACTGTGAGACAGAGACAGACAGACTGACTTTGGTCTCAGTAAGTATGCTGAATTTTGGATCTTGCAACTGATTGATTTATCATCATTAAAAGATCAGAAACAGCTATGGCGACTCAACTCTTATGGGAAGGTTTACCACAAGGTTCAGGAGTGTGTTCATGGGAGTCTTTGACTCAAAGTCTCCAAGCTAATTTATCCCAAAGATGTTCTCTCAGGTTGAAGTCACATTTCTGTGCAGGTCAGTCAAGTTTTACTAATCCATGTCTGTATGGACCTTGCTTTGTGCAAAGTCCCGAAAGTGGTCCACAAAGCTGGGAGCATGTAATTGTCCAAAATGTCTTGGTATGCTGAAGCATTAAGAGTTCCTTTGACTGGAACTAAGGGACAAACCCAACTCTTGAAAAACAACCTTAACCACCCACACCATAATCTCTCCCCCCAACCAAACTTTACACTTGGAACAGCTCAATCAAACAAGAATCGTTCTCCTGGCAACTACCAAATCCAGACTTGTCCATCAAATTGTCAGACAGAGAAGCATGAGTCGTCACTCGTCAAGTATATAACCGGTATATTTTACTTATATATAATTTCTTTTATAGTATCGGAGCGATCGTGGCTCAAAGAGTTGGCAGTTCGTCTTGTAACTGGAAGGTTGCCAGTTCGAGCCCCGGCTTGGACAGTCTCACTCGTTGTGTCCTTGGGCAAGACACTTCACCTGCTGCAATATGGCAGCCTCGCTTCTGTCAGTCTGCCCCAGGGCAGCTGTGGCTACAACTGTAGCTGCCTCCACCAGTGTGTGAATGTGAGAGTGAATGAAACAGCAGTGATTATTACGGCTGTTTACATTCCCCCACAAGCCGACACTGACCGAGCACTCAGGGAACTGTACAGCGCGATCAGCAGCGAGGAAACCGCACACCCAGAGGCAGCGTTTATCACAGCCGGAGACTTTAATAAGGGAAACCTGAAGAAAGTCTCACCCAAACTCCACCAACACATCCATTTTAACACTCGTGGAGACCGGCTACTCGACCACTGCTACACCTCTTTCCGGGATGCGTACAAAGCCCTCCCCCGCGCCCCATTCGGCCAATCAGATCACCGCTCCATCCTGCTCCTGCCCGCCTACAGGCAGAAGCTGAAACAGGAAGCTCCAACCCGGAGGGCGGTGCACTGTTGGACGGACCAATCGGAGTCTGCGCTGCGGGACTGTTTTGATCACGCGGACTGGGAAATGTTTCACGTGGCTGCTAGGGACATTGACGAGTACACAGACTCAGTCTGCGGATTTATCAGGAAATGCGTGGAAGATGTCGTCCCATCCAGAACAGTTAAATCCTTCCCAAATCAAAAACCCTGGATTAACGGAGATGTTCGCGCGGCACTGGCGGCACGGAGCACCGCCTTTGCCTCCGCGAACACATCGGACTACAAACACGCACATTACCAACTCCGGAAGACGATCAAAGCAGCCAAACGTGAGTACAGGGACAGGGTGGAGCAACAGTTTGACAACCCTCGGAGTATGTGGCAGGGACTAAACACGATCACAGACTTTAGAGGGAAAACCAGCACACCGCAGACCACGGCCTCTCTGTGTGAGGATCTAAACGTATTCTACGCTAGATTCGACACAGCGAACACCATGAGACCGGACAGTGTGCGCACCGCGGATGACGTCAGTGCGCACACTGTGTCTGAGGAGGATGTGCGGAAGTGCTTCAGGAAGGTGAACGCACGCAAAGCTACTGGTCCGGACGGGATTCCCGGCCGCGTCCTCAAGTCATGCGCGGCTCAGCTGGCTGGAGTGTTCACGCACATCTTCAACCTTTCCCTCTCTCTGTCTGTAGTCCCAGCCTGCTTCAAAATGGCCACCATCGTCCCTGTACCCAAATCCTCCACCATCTCCTCATTGAACGACTGGCGACCTGTAGCCCTGACCCCCATCGTAAGCAAATGCTTCGAGAAGCTGGTCAGGGACTTCATCTGCTCTGCACTACCCGACTCACTGGACCCTCTACAGTTCGCATACCGCCACAACAGGTCCACTGATGATGCCATAGCCCTGACACTACACACTGCCCTGTCACACCTGGAGAAGAGAGACACGTATGTGAGAATGCTGTTTGTAGATTACAGCTCAGCATTCAATACCATCGTTCCCTCGAAGCTGGACAGGAAACTGCAGGATCTAGGACTGAGCAGCTCCCTCTGCAGCTGGATCCTTACTTCCTGTCTGACAGACGCCATCCTCAGGACCTTCTATCACTGTGCCATTGAGAGCATCCTCACTGGATGCATCACCACCTGGTATGGCAACAGCACCGCCTACAACTGCAAAGCTCTCCAGCGAGTAGTGCGGTGCTCTGAACGGATAATTGGAGGTGAGCTTCCCTCCCTCCAAGACATCTACAGGAAGCGGTGCCTGAGGAAAGCGGGGAGGATCATCAAGGACTCCAGTCACCCCAGCCATAAACTGTTCAGACTCTTCCATCAGGAAGGAGGTTCTGCAGCATCCGGTCCCGTACCAGCAGACTGAGAGACAGCTTCTTCCACCAGGCCATCAGACTGCTGAACACGTCATAGACACCTCAGCTTCACTACTGGAACTTTAACATTATGCACTCCATACTGTACAGTAATGCCACTGTTTTGCACATGTCTCACTCTGTATATTTTATTTTATTTATTTTATATATTTTATTTATTGTTTACTCTATTTAATTTGTAAAATATGTGTACACACACACACACACACACACACACACACACAACACCCCAACACCCCCACACGTAGGAAAATATTTAGTATACACATCCAGAAATGCATACACTATTATATATTGTACATATATTTATTAGTTTCAGGTTGGCCATTCTTGTATTTTGCTCGTTTGTGTTGTTGTGTTTGCACATCTCTGTTGCTTGTGGGGCTCGCACACAAGAATTTCACTCGCATGTGCTGTGCCAGTGTGCCTGCACATGTGATGTGACAATAAAAGTGATTTGATTTGATTTGATTTGATTTGATTTGATAATGCTATCATCATGAGTAGATATAGAAATTCAGTTGTGATCATTAATAAAAGTAGATAATTATAGCAATCCGGTTGGGAAAAATGTGGCCTCATTAAAATGCTGCTTTCTTATCAATTGTAGAAAGGTTTACCGTGTTTCTCAATTTACTTTTGATGCCATTACATTCAGAAGGAGAGTTTAATTTTGAAAAGGTATCTTTCATTCCTATTGATTGCCACTTGCATCAACATAATTTGCTCATTTAACTCAATCTCCATGACATGGCTACACAAGAGGAATGGCCAGGGATGAATAATCTTATTGCAAGACTTGACAAGGTGTAAAATGGTGAAAGACCCAGGAATAACCAAGCTGTGCAAAATCAGTCATAGTTCTACCTATAAGAAATGCAGTTCCCATCCCAGATTAACGCTACAGACTCTGAAAGGCAAGTTCCTTGGCAGCGGGATCATCTGGATATGGATGGCATCCCAGATGGATGTCCTCATTTGCTGTTTGGCACAAAATGTCAAGATTATAATTTGTTAAGAATGTTATAATTCAATTCAATTCAATTTTATTTATATAGCGCCAAATCACAACAAAAGTCGCCTCAAGGCGCTTCATAGATACAGAGAAAAACCCAACAATCATATGACCCCCTATGAGCAAGCACTTTGGCGACAGTGGGAAGGAAAAACTCCCTTTTAACAGGAAGAAACCTCCGCAGAACCAGGCTCAGGGAGGGGCGGGCCATCTGCTGCGACCGGTTGGGGTGAGAGAAGGAAGACAGGATAAAGACATGCTGTGGAAGAGAGACAGAAGTTAATAACAGATATGATTCAATGCAGAGAGGTCTGTTAACACATAGTGAGTGAGAAAGGTGACTGGAAAGGAAAAACTCAATG